AAGAACGCTATATTTAGTTAGGTTTGTGCGACCCGACCCCTATTTCAACTAAACGATTAGCATTTGAAAATACCATCCATCTGTGAAAGTCACTCCTGCTGAAGATCCAGACAATTCATTTAATTCAATTTATAATTCACCGGACTTGAACATGATTCAATTTAATTCACTTATGCACAAGCTATACATAGCTTTTGTTGTCCATTCAGTCCATTTATTTGCTGATTAACAATGTTGCAATTAAAGTAACCAAAGAAATAAATATTTTTGTCGCTGAGAGCTTGTTCCGGCTGTCTCAAGCTGCCGCATACTACATATGGACATAAATACATAAGTATGTATGCATTTAGTTACTTTGATATTCGTTTTTTATTTTTCTTCTCAGTTCGAGATTTACTATCACTAGCGGAAGTACATATAAAGTTGTGCGCCGGTCTTGTTGAATCGCCGGTACTGATATATAAATATGTATGTATGTATTTTGTTATTCTAACGACGAGGAACGTCAAAAAAACCACGTCCGAACGTTTCAATATTTTATTTAAAACTGAGCGATCTCTTCTCAGCATATTCATTCACTGGTCAGAAATATATAAGTATATATATATATATATACATATATATGTATGTATTTTCAGCACACATTTGAGCGTATGTACTATGTCATATATGTACATACACACATAGTATGTATCTACATAAATCCGTCATTGTCCGGCTAGCGTAGACAGGAGTCCGATATTTGCTCACAACAAATACAGAAACAAAACAATATGCAACTACATATGTATGTATGTATGTATATACGTAGTGATCAGTCCATAAGCTGAATATAGTTGACGCCAAAATCACAGGGACTGTCCTCAGTTTGATAATTTAGGTATTTATTTGTGCTTTAATTATGCACTGCAAAAGATTCCTGAGTTCGCGGGGGGGTAAACACCCAGTCGAAAAAGGGATATGTATGGTAATGGAGGGGCAAATCCTCCACTGGCACAAGAAAGTATTAAATTATTCCCAAGATTCTAAGATTCTTAAATGTAATACATCCAAAACTCTAAGATTTATTTCAAGATTAATTTTGGAACGAACGGTTTCGGCGTTGTGCCATCTTCAGTGTCATTTTTCATTATTATTTATTTCAAGGGCGATGGTCAAGGATTTTACACTATTGGTTGGTTGGTTTCGGTGCTACCTAAAAGCTGTCTATGATTCTCTTAGCGCGTTTTTTTGGCATTTTGATCCACTTCTCGTGAGAACATTTTTTATCTTTGAGTATCCTATGAACACTTGTGGTCAGCTAATTAATAGTAGGGGAGCCCACGATGCTAAATCGGGATTTACTCGAGCGTCATTTTGACCTATTGGATTTTGAAGATGATATGATGGGAAGAAAAAAGGAAGCGGTGGGTAGAGGATCTACAGGCTTCCAAAACTGTAAAAAAAAAAACAGTTACATGGATTTACTCGAGCGCGTCAGATATTCACAAGGGATGTTAAATGGGCCCGA